GAGTGCTTCTTCTAACAGCTCGTGCCTGAATGCATAATTTTAAAGATTAAAAAAACATGAACAGCTATTAAATAACTGAAATAAAATTAACAGTAAAATAAACAGTTATGTTATGTACAAAATATTAAGAATTTTATTACTGTGGTCTTAAATTAATTAGTATTAGTAAAAAATAACGAACAGCTATCATCAGGAATAATTCTGACTACTGTTAATTCAAAAATATGACTTGGAACACGGGGAACATATCTACATGTATAAATATATATCAAGAGTTTTAACCATAAATCAACCGGTTTAAAGTACACGAATGCACAACTGCAAACTAAAAAAAAATTCATTTCTAAGGTCATCTAAAAAAAGTTCAAACACCATGGTATTTATTGTATCACCTGTAGTGCATCGCTACATATGACTAAACCTTTCGTTACAACAACATTAAAGAAAGTTCTTAATATCCGCAGCAACAAGATTTAATCGTAACAGTATAAGAGAATTTCGTATAACCATGGTTTCAGCTTTTGGAGCTCCTAATACAAGCACTAGTTTTAATGCCAAAATATCATAAAGCTAAAGCTTGCATAAATGACTCAGGACATCTGGAGCAAGGGCAGATAACACACACCGTTAAAGTCGTAGTGCATGAATTCTGTGCAAATTAGCATGCCTCTGTGTACTTACTACAGTACCCACGCTATTGTACTGTACACCGCGGTATATCGTTGTAGCCGACACTATGATGCTGAAGAACTCAAATAGCATCGAATAGCATGGAATTTCACTGCTTAAATGACCCTTCCCTCGACCTCGTAGGCCTTTAGAAGCAAACAGGCAGCACCACTCTGCTGTACAATCCGGTCTAATGACTGAAAGGTAGAAGTAGAACTGATATAAACCAACTGCGATTAGTTATAAACGTAAATCATTTATAAGTATAAGCTGCTTCACCTATCGGTAATAAGCCAAGTTCGCCGCATACAAGTGAAGACGCACAAGTCTATGCTGAGCAACTTTCCGAGTATTCGTTTGTCTATAAAAATTTTCGGTTGGTGTGGTGACGAAATCTATTATAAAATTATTAGAGAAATATATGTAATTATGGCCACTGATATTTTGACGACGTTGAAGCCACTCTGACGGATATGCGAAACGCTACCTGTCGTAAAATTTAGGACTATTTAAGAGCGAGATATTGCAACAGGCAGTAGGGAAAATAACCAAAGTACAGCAGTATGTCAAAGTAGCATGAAGCCGTGACCGGCTTGAATGGTTCTCTATGGTGTTAGAAGCAACAAAGCGGTGCTGTAGTAAAATGCATATTGGTTGAATAAAACTGTTGTTTTTGTAGTACCAAAATGATCATTTTACGAAGATATTATTAGAGCATGTTGTTAAAAAAAGGTGTGGAGTAAATCTGTCCCTTATATTAAGTCCATCATTTCAAACTTGTTTAATTTCCGGATAGTTAAGGCAATATTTCGAACTCGCCTGTTACAAAAAAACCTGAAAAACATACGCAGACGCTGCTATGAACCATAAGGAATCAATTTCCGGGAATTTTTCACATTCTGATATTACTGAGTTTGCTTCCAGAGCACACATCCACCAGGACAGGGCTTCACAGAGTAACGACCGGTCCTTTACTTTCAGTTGCCTGGGGACACATAAGCGGACCACCGGTATACGGCATTTGAACACCCGCAGAATTACATAGACTGACGCCATTTTATTCGCTACAGCACTGTCCTGAACATCATGAACGAAATTTCAGTAACCGGACCTCTTTATATCGAAGCATATAACATCGAAAATGAGGGTTTAAATGCATGTCCACTTATGCATAGCTTAACAACACTAAGAGTTCATTTAGATATTTGTTGGTTTCTTTATTCATAGCCTTAACCTCGAATCTGGCATTCCTTGCTAGGACTTTGTTACTTAAAAATTTCCAACCGACAGGAATTCCGCAACTATCGCAAAAACCGATTTAACCTGAGTTCAGCCACTCATGAGTTAGCTATTTTCGCCTCAAGGTCGGCTGGTAATTCATACTCGCCACAGAAACAAAGGAAAGGTATGGCATAAGGACGGTTGGACGTAATATTCCATTGTGAATGAGACTTCTTTAGCCAACTTTACATTTAAGCATTCTAACTAAACAGTGCTAATTCATTTCAATTCCCATCGCTTCCACATATCAGCGCTATTTTCACTCGTATAATAAATCATGAAACAACAGCGAGTTCGAATCATGCAAACAAATTTTTCGGTGACAAGGCCAACTGCTTTTAGACGTTTACCAAACGACAGCTCGAGTTAAAGCTGACTGCTGACACTGCAGCTGTCACTAACTTCATCAGAGTCCGTAAATTCGTCGTGTAATTAGCCAGAGAACTTCAATGATATTAATAATTTAAAGTGATTATTAATATGAAAAACGCATTAACATGCAGCAAATGCAAAGTGCGAAGCATTCCTACTTCCGTTTCCGTCTTCTATCAAAGTCAGGCGTATGTAGGCTAGCCGAAAAGCCGACGGACAGCTCGCCTGCGCTCACTTCGCCATCAGAATAGTAAGCAGCCGTCGAGCCGCCGAGGTCACCAGATTTGTACAAATTAGACGATGAGGTATTTTTGTGCTTGTCCTTTTTGCCGAACAGTCGGCCAAGAGACCTTAATCCGGACGCTGACGGTGATCGCTTCTTTGCCGCTGAGGTCGGAGGCGGTGCGCGAACCGTAAGCGACTCCTGACTGCTCGCCACACTTGGTGTAGGGCTCTGGGCTGGCACTGCCTCAGCAGCATGTTCAACATTGTTTCTGAAAATGATCGACCAGTTGATGACATGAAAAATATTTGATTTGTTTCAGCGATAAATTTGTAGATGCTTGAT